CTCCTCCCACTCACCCTAGAGATGGCCACCATTATACACAAATAAGTATATATGTGTATATATATATATATATATATATATATACACACACACACATAAAATTATTCTATACATATTTCTATTTATCAGTTCTTTGTCTGAATGCAGATAGTGTCTTTCTTCATATGTCCTTTATAGTTAATTTAAATATTTATAACAGTCAAGATGACTTATTCACTGAAAGTAACTTTATTAGATATTTAAAAGGAATAGCAAGTTGTACATAACAGATTTGCAGTTTCATGTTCATTCATCTTTGTTAATATACTATGTTATAAAAATGCTTGTTTTCTTCCATAAATTAAAAATAAAATAAAATGTGAAAAAGTATATTCTGTTACCTCAATGGCTATGGCCTCATTTTTTTTTAATGAGGGTGGGATTCTTTACTCAATTCACATTCATTCAGGAAGCCAGACTGGATGGCATCCCGTCGAATGGGGCCAGGAGATTTGGCTCTGGAAATAAGTTCTGTCCTTGATGTGAGGCACGGAATGAAATGTACCAAATAAAGTCCTCCATGGAGTAGGGCTATTACTTAATGGCAGGATGTTATTCCAAGTAGATTAGTTAAAAGTCATCAAGATGCTGGGAAAACAACAACTGATTTTCAAGTAAATTGAACAGTTTCAGCTTTTACAGCGGATTTAGTTAGTAATCTTGGACAAGAAGAACTATATGCCCTTTGAAAATAGTCTACCTTCTACTAGCTGTGTGACCCTGGGACAGTCACTTAACCCTGACTGCCTCCAAAAAAAAAAAAAAAGAAAAAGAAAAGACTCTACCTTTTAAACTTCCAGAGATGACAAAATTGAGAAATGCCAAATACTTGGTCAGCACCTAGCCCAGGGAAATACTGAAACACACTGTTAGTGGGGGGACTTAGGAGGACGGGATCCAGCTAACATACTGCACTATACTAAATTAAAGAGAGTTCCAAGATAGGCTAGCCTGATATCAAGAAGTTGAAGTTGGACTCCATCCAACGATCAGGGACGTGAGGAATACATTGAGGAGTAACTGTGTTTCTTTATTAACTTAATGTACATACAATGTTCTCTGATTTTCCTTGTGGAATTATTTTATGATTGAAATGTACATATGTAACGTTTATCTCTTTCGATTTTATAGTACATGTTTACTATTACCAGGTATTTGACTGGTTAATTCTGTAAAATATAATCAAAATCCCTCTAAGCCAGTTCACTTGAACATTAGTTGAATAGAGTAACTTTTGGGCATGGTTCCAAATCACCGGACCAGTTCACAGCTCTACCAACAGTGCATTGACGCTCCTGTTTTTCCACAGTCCCTCCAGCATTTGTCATTTTCCTTTTTTGTCAATTTCACCAGTCTCTTGGGTGTGAGGTGGTTCCTCAGAATTGTTTTCATTTGCATTCTTCTAATTATTAGAAGCATTTTTATGTCTATTAACAGCATGGATTTCTTCCTCCTAAAGGAACTAAGGGAATTCTAATGGTGGGGGGGGACAATATGTAAAAGAGACTTGGAAAGGGGTAAGAGAAGAGGGCGCCCACTCAGGGGCAAGGCTGCTGGTGAAGAGGTGGAGGAGTCCGGAGGGTTCAGGAGAGAAGGCTCTAGTGCTCCACAGTCCCTTTGCCCAACATCAGTTCTGATTTCTATGTCTGAGTTTTTGTTCTTATGCAAACAGGCCAAGCAAGGTCACAGTACTTGCCAATAGCAGAACTTGGCTTCCATTGTGATGGTTAACACCCTTTCCACCTGCAAAGACTGGGAAAGGCAGGGTAGACAGATGAAATTCTCAGCGCCCATACCCCATCCCACCCCAGGGGTCTCTGAGGGCAAGAACTGTAGGCAGCAGCCACAGAGGCTGGGTGGCCATCTGACCTCTACCTGAAGGCCTACAGGGAGAGGGAACACCCCACCCCCCTGTGGCAGACAGCCCATCTTTTTCACTTTTGAATAGTCCACAGGAAGGGTTTGCCTTCTGGGTCTAAGCAGAACAGGGCTGATCCTAGGCTGGCATTCAAGGGACAGAACAATTTAATTAGTGAGCTGATAATGAAAGCTTTATTGGACTTGTCTATTAGAAGAGCTGAAAGGGAAGCCCATGTGGCTTCATGGCAGACACAAAGCTGTGGGAGGCAGGAACCACGATGAAATACTACTAAGGGAAGCTCAATGAAAGACCTTCCCTGAGGCCAGGACAGATACCTTCAAACTAGTGCTGCCCACTCATGTCTCTCATACTGGGAACGGGAACACCTCCAAAAGTAAGACTGGAGGGGCAGCTAGGTGGCGCAGTGGATAGAGCACCGGCCCTGAAGTCAGGAGGACCTGAGTTCAAATCTGGCCTCAGACCAAACACTTGACACACTTACTAGCTGTGTGACCCTGGGCAAGTCACTTAACCCCAATTGCCTAAAAGCAAAAAACAAAAACCAAAAAAACCCCCCAAAAAACAAAAGTAAGACTGGGAAAAGCAGGGAAAGGAAAGGCTATGTCCAGAGATGCTGCCATGATGGTTTTCAGGTCATGGCAGGCCAGGATCAGCTTGGGAGTTCATAGAGGAGTGTAGGTGTGTGTGGGGGAGGGCGGTCATGGCCATTTGCTCCCCTGGGGGGGGTCAGGATCATAATACATCTTGGATTAGAGCTACTTGGGTGCTTAGGGGTGGTGGTACAGCTAAGAGACTCCACAGAGTGTTAGACCTGGGAGTCAAGGAGACCTGAATTCAAATCTTACTTCACACACTTACTATCTGTGTGATCTTGGGTAGTCACTTAACTCTTGCTTCTCTCAGTTCCCTCATCTGAAAATGAGTTAAATAAGAGACCCTACCACCTAGGATTGTAGTGAGGACCAAACAAGATAACATATAATGTGTCTTGCAAATCTTAAAGTGATAAATGCTAGTTTTGTCTTCCCCTAACTCTTCTCCAAGTAAAAATCATGTCTTCTGAATTCTGGGTTTCCTCTGTGTGTGTGTGGGGGGAGTGAGATGTAAGAAAACAAACATTTATATAGCACCTACTATGTGCTAAGCACTTTACAAACATTATCTCACTTAACCCTCACAACAACCCTACGACATGATTGCTTAGCTCTGTAGCTTACACATAGTAGGCACTTAATGCATTCTGTTGAATTGTATTGAAGGATCTTGAGGCCTGACTAAGCTCCAAGTTATCAGAAGGACTACTACCTCTCTTAGACCACGTGACACCAAGATTGTGAAGCCTTCACTAGCGGTCCATTAGAACCCCCAGATCATTTTCACAGTAAGCACTGTTTATCCTTGCCTCCCCCATTATAACTTGTGACCTTGATTTTTTTTTCTCTATCCAAATGTAGGACTTTCAATTTACCAGTGTAATTTCATGTTATTAGATTCAGCTCAACATTCTGGCTCTCATCCTCATTTTGGTTCTTCATTCTGTCATCCAACATTAGTTGTCTTTACATCCTGGTGCCATCTGCAGATTTGATAAGCATACCAGTTATGCCTTGGGTCAAGTAATTGACTAAAACACACACACACACACACACACACACACACACACACACACACATTAAAAAGCACATGGTCCAGGACTAATCCCTGGGGCACTCTGCTGGGTGACATTATTTCACATTGACATTGACTTAATCAATCAATCAATAAACATTTATTGTACATTGTGCCAGCACTGTGGTAGGTGCTGGGAATACAAAGACAAAAAGGCACATAGTCCCTGACCACAAGGAGCTTCCATTCTAGTGGGGGATATAAAGATTATACTTTAACTCTTCTATCATCAAACCCAAATCTCTCCATTTTGTGAACAAGGACAGGGTGAAAGACTTTGTTAAATGCTTTGTTAAAATAGTCCCCTTATTAAAAAAGCAAAACAGGGTTAAATTCAAATGACTTATAATTTTTTGGGAGGAGGTGAGGCAACTGGGGTTAAGTGACTTGCCCAGGGTCACACAGCTAGTGTCTAGTGTCTAAGGTCACATTTGCACTCAGGTCCTCCTGACTCCGAGGCCGGTACTATATCCATGGCGCCACCTAGCTGCCCTTCAAATGACTTATTCTTGATGATGTCCTGGCTGTTTGTGATTATGTTTTTTTCCTATATTTGCCAACCATCCTTCTAATGATACATTCTAGGATAGTTCCACGTGTAATAATGATGGACAGCTAACATTTATAGATAGCTACAAAGTTTCCCAAGCCCTTTCTATTACCTCATTTGGTCCTTACAACAAACCTGTGAGGTGGGTGCAATTATTATCCCCATTTTACAAAGGAAGTAAATGAGGCTGAGAGATATTAAGTAACTTGCTCAGGATAGCACGATTCTCATCTAAGGTTGGATCTGAACTCGGGTCTTCCCGGCTCCAAGTCCTCACTCTACACACCGCACCAACTAGTAGCGGCTGAGACAGTCCACGTTGTTTTTGACTCCCCAGTACAGGACCGGACACTCACTAGGGGATGGATAATTGAACTGAAGCCGAAATCGTCATCTTTCTCTGTATTTTCTGCCCATCCATCAAAGTCGGGCACAGTCAACCAGAACAGAGGTTACTATGTTTCAAGCACAGTCCTAAGTGCTAAGAACGCAAAGAAAGGCAAAAGACAGTCCCTGCCTTCGAGAAGTTTACAATCTAAAGGGGGAGAGAACACATAACGATGTACAAACAAACTGTAGGCAGAATAAATTGGGAAATAACCAATAGAGGGAAGGCATTATCATTAAGGAGGATCGGGAAAGGTTTCTTCTAGAAATAGGATTTTAGCTGGGATTTGAATCACAGATTCAAAGTGACCTTAGCGCTCATTCGGTTTACCCCATTATACAGATGAGGAAGTTGAAGACCATCCGGAAAGTCAAGAGACTTGCCCAAGGTCCGCATAGGTAGTGTGTGATTGAGGCAGAATTTGAACCCAGGTCCCTTGACTACAGAGCCAGGGCTCTTTTCTATTGCCCTACCTGCCTCCCCACTGCTGGAGCTCAGCTAGGATGATCCGGTCTCAGGCTGGAAGGCCCGGCTTGACTCCGACGCTCTCTCCCTCCCTCCCAACACCCAGAGCCTGGGGGCTCGGGCCGCGGTAGCCCCGACCCCGCCCACCACCGACGTCAACGAGGATCTCCGCTAGCCCCGCCCACGCTCCCGCCCCTTCATCCGAGGCGCATGCGCACCGGGCTTTTCCCTGCTTCCGCCTTCTCGCGACAAGCCCCGGGCCGCCGGCGGCCTCGCGGGACGAGCCGGCTTCTCGCGTGAGCGGGGCTGCGGGGTCTGTGGGGCCGGGACCACGGGGTGGACAGGGTTGCGGGCCTGGGCCGGGGCCGGGAGTAGGAGCTGCATGTGTCCCTTCTGTGGCCGGAGGCAGCGGGGTCTGTGCGGGCGCACGGGTAACGAGGGCCCCGCGGGGCAGCCGGGGGCCAGGGAGGGGGCGCGGGCGGACCCCGCGAGGCCGCCGGGCCCGGAGCCTGCACCCCGCGGCACGCGCGCGCACACTCCCTCTCGCACACGCACTCATCCCCCATCTGCTCCCGCGGCGGCTTCCGCCCTGCCCCCTCACCATCCATCCTCCCCTCCCCCTTCCCAGTCGTCTGTCCCCCCCCCCCAACCTTCCCGCACCCTTCTCCTTTCAGCCCCCACGATCTCTGGTACTCCCTTCCCTGCTCCTCCACGGCCCTGACTCTCCATTCCCCCCTAGACCTTCCCTTTTGTTTCCCATTCCTCACCCCACCCCAGTCTCCATCTAGATCTTCCCCCTTCCCTTCCTATTCCTCACCCCCCCCAGTCTCCATCCAGACCCTCCCCCTTCCCTTCCCATTCCTCACACCCCCCAGTCTCCATCCAGACCCTTCGCATTCCTCATACCCCCTGAGTCTCCAGACCCTCACCCTTCCCTTCCCATTCCTCAATCCCCCCAGCCTCCATCTAGACCATCCCCCCTCCCTTCCCATTCCTCACACCCCTCCCAGTCTCCATCTAGACCCTCACCCTTCCCTTCCTATTCCTCATATCCCTCCCAGTTTCCATTCCTTTCATGAACCCTCCTACTTCCCATCTCCTTATACTCCATGATTCTGCATTCCCTTATCGACCCTCATCCTTTCCTCCACATCCTCTGATGCTTCATTCCCTTGCTAGACAACCCTCACCCCTTCCCTTTCTTCAGGGCCCGCTGCCTTCCTTCCTTCATCCCCTTCAAGCCTCTCATTTCACATTTTCTGATTTGCCGTGCCCTTATAGACTTTCACCCTTTTCTCTTCTACTCCTCGTACAGATGTGTACCTTTTTCTCTGATTTCTTGTACTCTCTTCAGTAAATAATTTCTGCTCCCGACCTCCCACCTTCTCTTCTCCCTTCTCTAATCTTGCATTCTTTTGGACACTCAGCTTTCTGCCCTCGTTCCTTATACCTTCATATTCTCTCATCCCTTTACCTCCCTGGACCTCCTCTTTTTTCATTTGTAAAATTAGGGGGTTGGTTGGACTTGAAGGTCCTTTCCTGTAAGGTCCTTCCCAGCTCTCAATTTATGATCCTATCCCCATTCTTCACACCCTCTCCTTACTTCATTTTTCTCTCTTTTCATTTGTCACATTCTCTCATTCTCCATTCCCCTTTCCTCTTACCCTCTAATCCCCTCTCAGCTCCTGCTCTTCCCTCTTCCTTCTTCAGACCTTCTGGTCCTCTTCACCCTTTTTTCATTCTTCAGCCTCTTTGGACATCAAGTCTCAAGTCCTTCAGGCCCTCACCTCTCTGTCTTCATCCCTCATTCCTTTTGAAGAATACACTCCATAAATGTATCCTCCATACACTCTTCTGTGTAATTGGTTCATCCTTCACATTCTTTGATTCCTTATTCTTATTACCTTTCTTTTTCCTCTATTTTGGGCCATCACCTTTGCCTCTCACATTTCATAGTTTGTGCCTCATACTGGCTTTCCCCTTCAATACCTCACAGTCATTCATCCTTTTCTCATTCCTTATTCAGCTACTCTCTTCAGCCTCTCATTGAACAAGTTATTCAACTTCTTTAGGGCTTGCTTTCTTCTTCTAGCTCTTAGATTGGGATGCTGTGGTGTTTCATGATTTCTTCTATCCTTTGAATCTTCCTCACCCACCTACTTCTTTCCTGTTCATGGTCTTTGAGACTCTCTGCAGCTTCTCATCCTCCTCATACACTCTGGTCTCTGTAAAATGGACTAGATCAGGAGTTTTTAAACTGGGGTCCATGAATAGTTTTTTAATTTTTTGATAAATGCATTTCATCATAATGGTTTCTTTTGTAATTCTATATATTTTATACTTTTAAAAGCATGGTTCTGAAAAAGGTCCCTTATGCTTCACCAGACTGTCAAAGGGGTCCGTGACCCAAGAAAGAGGAAGAACTCATGGGATTAGGTTATATTTGAATTCTAAAATTCTCCAATCCCTTCTGTCTCCCTTTCCCTATTTCCCACTCCCCTTACAGCTTCTCTCTCCCATACTCAAGAAGCCATTAGAGTCCCTCACAGGATCCCAGATTTAGAGCTAGAAGAGATCATCTAGGCTAACCAGCTGGTTTTACGAAGGAGGAAACTGAGGCTCAGAGATGTTAAAGGCCTTGTCCATGGTCACCCAGTCCTTGGAGTGGCAGGGTTGGGATTTGGATCCCACCCTTGTTGGCTATCCTTGTCTGGCCTGCCTTCCTGCCTTGTGGGTTGAGCTCGGCCTTTCTACGTGACTCTCTTTATGATCACATCCTTATCCCTTCTGCTTTAACAGACTCCCCGGACTAGAGATCTAAAAAGGACGCAAGAGACCACGAAGTCCAGTCTCTCACAAATGAGGAACTGAGGCCCGGAAAAGGGGAGCGCGCCCCTCTTCCTCTGTGTTGTCTTGCTACACATCACATCTTTCCGCTCACCTTTGAGTCTTCAAACATTGCCTCCCCGCGTACTTTGCTGATTTTTCTCTCTTGTCCTGCTTGTGCTCATGTCTTCCTTCTCTTTACCCCTTCATCCTTTTTGTAGTAGTTTGTTTTATGTGGTTTTTAAGATTTAGGGCTGGAAGTCCCATCTTCTCATTTTACAAATGATAAAACAGGCCTAAGGTGGTCAAGTGACTAGCCCACTTTTTATCTCCTTATCCATATTCTGGTTTGTTTTTTTTTTTACTTTTAGGCAATTGGGGTTAAGTGACTTACCCAGGGTCACACAGCTAGTGTCAAGTGTTTGGTCTGAGGCCGGATTTGAACTCAGGTCCTCTTGACTTCAGGGCCGGTGCTCTATCCACTGCGCTACCTAGCTGCCCCACCTTATCCATATTCTGTTATGTCTCCTCATTTTTGTTTCCTAGTACTACTTTGTGAGCCTCGTTCTTACAATTTAGTGCTCAACAACCCCTTTGAATTGGATAGATGTAGGGAGGAAGGTGGCTTTCTACTTGTGAGTGTTGGGCATTCTAAAGGAATTTTGAAAATAATTTTCTTTTTCTCTTATAGGTTTGTGAGATGGCTACAGACTTTTCTGAGTCCACTGCCCCTGACTGCAAAGGAGACCTGAAAAGCAGCACCAAGCTAGACACAGAGTACCCGCTTCGGGTCCTTTACTGTGGAGGCAAGTGTTTTCAAGCTGTGTTATGTCACTTGTTTCCCTGATTATTAGTAGTCAGTACTGTTTTCATTGTCATGTGTCCTAAATTCCTTCAGAATTTTGTGTTTTCTATTAAAATCCTCTGCTAAATTTCTACCTGGATGCCTCAGTTTGATGAAGAGGTGACCCAGGTTGTCAAATACTAAAAAGATTTCAAGCACAATTCCAAGGGTAGATGGACCTACTTGTTAATTGATTTCAGGTAGGTTCGTCACCTGCTTGACCCAAGGGTGAGCAGTATTTCTGCCATAGCAGCTCACCTGAGGCATAAAAGCCACTGACATTTGTATGGTACGTCTAAGTCCAGAAAGCCCTTTACCTAAATATCGCATCTGAACTGGACAGTAGCCCTATGGAAGATGTGCTACAAATATCGTCCCCATTTTACAGATAGGGAAACTGAGGCTGAGAGGTCATTGTTCATGGTCACACAAGAACTTTGTGATCTGTGTCTGCGGAAGGAGGACCTGCGCTGGCCCAATCCTGGATCTTCCAAGTATTGTCATTAACTTTAAATAGTTAATGGGCGGAATTTCATACATGTGGGCACAGATGTTTATTTATTTATTTTGCTTTGTGTGTTTTCATTCTAATGTGGAGATGTTTATGAACGGGGTGTGCTTTTGAAGTGTCATTACAGTGGATGGAGTGCCTGGCCTAGAGTCGAGAAGACGTGAGTTCTAATCCAGCCTCAAGACTCTTACTAGCTTTATGACCCTGGGCAAGTCACTTAACCCTGTTTGCCTCAGTATCCTCATCTGTGAAATGAGCTAGAGAAGAAAATTGCAAAAGCACTGTAGTATTTTTGCCAAGAAAACCCTGCATGGGATCATGAAGAGTCAGACATGACTGAAACGAGTGAACAGTGACTCTTTCTAAGGGACATCCGAATTATGCCAGGCCTGAAAGGCTCCATTCCTTACCTAGTCCCTCACCCTTCCCCTCTGCGTTCCTCATACCCCTTGAGTCTCCATTCCCCCTTAGACCCTCACCTTTCCTTTCTCCTTCACACCCAAAATTTTGGCTTTGGGGGGGGGTTTGTTTTTGGTGAGGCAATCGGGGTTAAGTGACCTGCCTAGGGTCACACAGCTAGTAAGTTTAAGTGTCTGAGGCTGGATTTGAACTCGGGTCCTTCTGACTGCAAGGCGAGAGCTCTATCTACTGCACCACCTAGCTGCCCCCACACCCAAAATTGTGAAGGAATTTAGGACACAGAAATGAGAAGTCCAGCAAGTCTGGGGGTTGATATAGTGTAGCAGGTGCTGTCAAAGGGGAAGCAGCGTGGGACAGGGAAAGATCCCTCGCTCCAGAGTCAGAGGACTGGGGTCCCGCTTCTCCCGTGCTGGGTGACCTCGGTGGAGTCAGTGGGCTTGGGCCTCCCACTCCCTCATCTCTGATGTGAGAAGACTTGGATGGCGTGGCCTCTGAGGTTTCTTCCAGCTCCTTGTCTCTGAAGGGGCGCAGTACAGAGAAAGGAAGGGAGAGCCTGCAGTCTGGGAAATGGCCCTGTCATCCTGCTGTGTGCTGGGGAGAGCTTGGATTAGTGTTGTGGCAGTGAAAATGGAAGAGGCCGGTCTGAGAAACAGCGAAGGTCAGGCTGGGTGTCCCTACAGTCTAGGCAGAGAGAGAGAAGGGGAAAAAGAAGTAAAAGAAGGATTGAAAAAAATGGGACTAACCCTGAAATGAGGCATCTGGGAAAGGGAGGGCTGTGTGTTGGAGGGCAAGGTGATGAATTTGACTTTAAGCAGTTTGTATTTCAGATGGCATCGAAGTAGAGAAATCCATTGGGTATTCTGAGATTTGGGTGTGGAGGAGTAGATTGGAGAGAGTCCTTAGTAGTTTGAGGTAAGAGCAGATGGGATCTAGGATGTGATTGAGAGAGAGAATGGCAGAGGGACGGAGCCCTAGGTGGCACTACCGCTCAGGAGGGAGGCGATCTCTCAAGCGGATCTGCCTGCGAATGGTAGAGTTGGAGGAAGCCTCTGAGGTCCTCCAGCTCTGCTCAGTAGCCAGAGCATGAATTCCCTCTGCAGCGTCTCTGCTAAGTGAACACATCCACCCTTGGAAACCTGTGGTGTGCACCTCACCGCTTACCAAGACTGCGTTTCATTTTTATCCAGTTCAAATTGTTAGTAAATTTTTACTGATATGGAGCCAAAGTGCCTCAACAGTTGATTCTGGTTCTGCCTGCTGGGTCGCAACAGAATAAGTGTAATCCCTCTTCAGCATGTTCAAGGTATCTCAAACAGGAAAAGAAAATGATGAAATTTGGTGGGAAAAGTGTGGCAGAATGGTTTTTTTAGATATTTACCTGACTGAGGAATTTCCATTGGGGGACAATACCGTCCCACTTGTAGCCTCTCTCTAAATAAAACAAGAAGCATTGTGCTCTCTTGGGAACCACGAAGAGCTGGGCTGCCCCTCAGATACACAGGTTGTGTGACTCTGGGCAAGACCTTTAACCTTTCAAATGAGGTATTTGTGAAGGCGCTTAATAAATGCTTGTTCCCTGCCTCTCTTCCTCTAGATGACAGCTTAGGGGCAACTTCCTAAGACTGGAAGTTGCAGTGAGGGTGTGGACCTGAATTAACTGGTAAAGGCGGGGCTCCTCATCTGGGAGTTCACTCTGAAGAGAAAGTCGTTGGGCCAGACCCCATTCCTATTCCAGTTTAGTAGTAATTGTTCACGTTTATATGAAATTTCATGACTTGCAGAATACCATACTTACATTGTTTCATTTTAACCTGACAACAACCTTGTGTGTTAGAAGCTGTTCTGCCTCATTTTTTAGATGGGGAAACAGAGTGAGAGAGGTCAGGCAACTTCCCCAGGGTCCTACAAACTAAGGCTGAATTAGAATCCATGTCTTCCTGATACAAAGCTTGATGTGATGTGGAAACTTGAGATAAGACTATATTTTTTAAAAATCTCACCTCTCCTCAAATAGGTTTTTAAAAATAATTTCGGGGGCAGCTAGGTGGCGCAGTAGATACAGCATGGGTCCTGAAGTTGGGAGGATCTGAGTTCAAATACGGCCTCAGACCCAACATTTGACACTTACTAGCTGTGTGACCCTGGGCAAGTCACTTAACCCTGATTGCCTCACCTAATAATAATAACAATGATAATAAAATAAAATATTTTTTTAAAAAAGGAAGGGTTGCAGATGAGAAGAAAAGATAATAGAAGTGAAGGGAGGACGGCATTCTCATGGGGGGAGGGAGTTCTGACTAATGTCGTGTATTATGCCTTAAATATTGTTGGAGTTAATACAACTATTATTGGGTGTTTAGCTGGCTTTTTGTAGTGTGAAATTTCGTAATGGCAGCCTTGGTTCTGATACCAAAATCTGTTCATCTTAGCGTGAACATAGAATCACAAAAGCAGTTGTTTTAGTGAGAAGTCAGGAAGCTTAGAGAGAATTTCAGCTTTGTCTTTCTAGTGTTTCAATTTGGGGATTGAAGGAGCAGTGAGCAGAGACAAACTTTTGATGACATGATAGTCCTGAAGCTAAGAGCTCTCCAAGAGGCACTGGACACAAGTTCTCAGAATCCTAGAACTTCGGGGGTGGAAGGGACTTCATTGGTCAAGCCCACCTCCCCGAGCTGTCCTGGAAGGGGAGCACAGTGCCTCTCAAGGGAGCCTGCTTTACTTTTGGACACCATTAATTACATCTCCTCTCTCTTGATTCCTTGACTTCTACCCATTGCCCCTGTCTTTGCCTTCTGGGCCCATCGCTTTCTCTGTGGCACCAGGGTCCTTACACTGTCTTGCTGAAAACTGAACACAGCATTGGAGGTGTGGTTTGACCAGGAGTAGAGAGGGGTTATCACCTCCTCATTCCTGGAGGCTATGTCTCTCTCAATTCGACCCAAGATTGTATTTACCTTTTAGCTGCCATGTCACATTAATGATTCATTGACCTTGTTAGGCCACTAAGACCCCCAGATGTGTTTCGGACAGACTGCCATCTAAATGTAAACAGTACGTGTGAAGTTGATTTTTTTTCCAACCCGTGTGTAAAATTTATACTTACCCTTATTAAATTTCATCTTGCTAGGTGACAGCCTTGAGCTCTAACTTGTCAAGCTGTTTTGAAAAGCTGGCTCTGTTGTCCAGCGTGTTGGCAGTCCTGTCTTGTCTGAGGATCGGATGAGCGGGCCATTTATCTGAGTCATTGATATACAGCCCTGGAGTGCTTCATTGGCCACCGCCTCCATAGTAGACATTGAGCCCTCGTCTACTCCTAGAGTCTGACTAATCAGCAAATTACAGATGGTCCAAGTTCACTATGTTTTAGTTCGTCTACTTTTCCATAACGGTAACAATAGATACTTTCCCTAATGCTTTGTTAAAGTGGAGGTAAAATATAGGAATTGCATTCTTAGTAAAACCTGTCAGAGGGAAAAAAAAGTTCTCGGGACCTATACTTGATGAAGCCATGTTAGCTCCTTGTAATCACCACTTCCTTTTCTTTTAAATTTAATTAATGAATTAATCTAAATCAAATGAAATTCAGTTTAATTAATAAATTTAATTGGTTCTAATTTAATTAATGAAAACCTACCTTTTCTTTCTCCCACCTCCCCCTGCCTTGTGGAAAAAGAAAAACAAAACACATAGCAATTATGTGCAGTCAAGCAAAACAAATTCTTACATTGCCACAAGCCAAAAAAATATATTTCAGTCTGCGCTCTTGAGTCTATCACTTCTAGAAGGAGGTGGGTTCCATGTTTCATCCTGAGTCCTCTGGAATCAGGTCAGCCATTTCCTTCAAGGTTGTATTGTGAACGTTGTAGAAATTGTTCTCCTGGTTCTGTTTACTTTGCTCTGCATCAGTTCTTACAAGTCTTGTTTTTCTAGACGGTGACCAACTGTTTCATTAATGATCTGTTCTAGAATTTTCATAGGCATCAAAATCCAGCTCACTGGCTTGAATTGTACAAACAGTTCTCTTCCCGTTT